CAGCGGCCGGTCTACGGTCTCCGCCAGGCGCCACGTGAGTGGCACGACACACTGAGGACTACACTTGCGGCTCTTGGGTTCGCGCCTTCTACTGCTGACCCGTCGCTGTTTCTACGCACAGACACTTCGTTGCCGCCGTTCTACATCCTCGTGTACGTCGACGAATTGGTCTTTGCCACTGCTGACACTGAGGCTCTTGCCCACGTGAAGTCCGAACTGCAGAAGAGACACACGTACACAGACCTGGGTGAACTGCGCAGCTACCTTGGCTTGCAGATCACCCGGGACAGAGCACGCCGCACCATCACACTGACTCAGTCACACATGGTGCAGCAGGTCCTTCAGCGCTTCGGCTTCACCTGGTCCTCAGCACAGGCCACTCCTCTGGCTATAGGTCACTCGCTCTCAGCTCTGCCTTCGGATGAGTCCGTAGAGCCGAGTGGTCCTTACCCAGAGCTAGTTGGTTGCCTCATGTACCTGATGACTTGCACTCGTCCTGACCTAGCGTACCCTCTTGGCCTTCTGGCCCGCTACGTGGCTCCTGGTAGGCACCGAAAGGTGCACTGGGATGCTGCAAAGAGGGTATTGCGCTACTTGTGCAGTACATCGGGCATGGGGCTCGTGCTTGGAGGAGGGAGCCCAGTTGTTCTCACTGGGCACTCAGACGCTTCTTGGGTTGACGACCAGGCTACTCAGCGGTCATCACAGGGTTACACCTTCAGTCTTGGCTCTGGCTCAGTTTCTTGGCGTTCTACACGTTCGTCTTCAGTTCTCAGCTCTAGTTGTGAGGCTGAGATCTACGCCACAGCCATGGCTGCTCAGGAGTTACGCTGGCTCACCTACCTGCTGACCGACTTGGGAGAGCGGCCTCGTTCTCCTCCAGTGCTGTACGTTGACAACAAGGCTGCCATTGCCTTGTGTGAGGAGCACAGACTGGAGCACAAAACGAAGCACATCGCTCTGCGGTACTTTCTGGCTCGAGAGTTGCAGCAGCGTGGTCAGCTTCGTCTGCGTTACGTGGCCACTCAGGCCAACACTGCTGATATATTCACCAAGGCACTTCCGCCTAGTGATCATCAGCGTTTCTGCACTTTGTTAGGGCTTGTGCCCACTTTTCCTCACTTGTTGTAGACTTTGCCTGTACTGTGATCTATATATATATATACCTGCATGCTTGCTAGATATAGATCATTGTGATGCTTGTAGTACATATATGCCTCTGCATGTGAACTGGCCTTGTGGCTCTTTGCTTGTGCTCAGAATGCGTGGTGACGTTGTGATCCACCCTGAGCTTGCTTTGCTTTCTTGACTGGTCTTGTGACCCCTTGCTCTCCCCCACTTTGCCTATGGGGGTGTGTCAAACATTGTACATGTGTTATTGCTGTGTAGGCTACAGTGGGTTAGCCTTTAGGGGGTACACAATTCTAGGGTTTCATACTTGTACTCCAATGTTCTCATAGTTCACACACTTCTCTGATTCTGACAACTACGAAACTCTACCGACACGGGAAGGACAAACCGGACCCTGGGCGCCGTCGTATTTCGTTGAGCATGTAGGACGCATGGTGCGCAGGTCTGCGTGCGAGATTTGAGCTAATTGCGGCCTCGATCGCGGCATCTCCAGGACTACACCAACGGGTTTCTAGCGTTGTGCGAGCAGGTGGGCTACATGCACGAGGGAGAGCGAATCGACCGCTACATCGGTAGCCTGAAACACGACATCGCTCATGAGATTTAGCTACGCAACGTCACTGAATATAATGAGATTCTCGCTATGACGGAGAAACTCGATTTTTTGCGCCGACTGAGACCGGGGTCCTACTGCAGCAGCGACAGCTGGGGACATAGGCCTCGTGGGACGAACGAGCACGCCACAATACGCGTTGTCTCCGCAAATGCTGCCGCCGCACCGTAAGAATAAATGCTTGAGTTTTAAGGGCGTTGCTTCGCGTGCAACAGGTCGGGGCACCGTGTGAGAGTACGACGGAATTGCTACGCTTTACTAGCTCGATTGTGTTTTATTGTGCATTATATAGCTTAGTTTTATTTTGTTTTGCTTGATTTCCTAGGTTCGTTGCTTTTACTATATTATTATAGTTTTAGGCACCGAACTAGGTTGAGTGCACCGAATTCTAGGCTTTTCGGTTGCCACCGAATTGCCTTCTACCGAATTCGGAAAGGACCCGTTCGGGACGCTTCGCGACCCGCGGAACCTTCTAGTAACACCAGGGTTACTGCCTTTGTGTCGAGCCTATATATAGCCTCGCCTTGTACCCAGGTGATTATTTCAATAGTTATATCTTGATCCTCACACTTGGAAATCAGAGCGAGTGTACACGCGAGTTCTTCAACCGCTTAGTTCCGGCCTTTAAAAACCGCGGGGGCGACGACGAAGGCGCCGATACGGGTATGTAAAACCAGTTCCGCGCAACTCTCTAAGTCCCCCTCGATTCGGTTTCGAACAGGCCTCAGGATTATTGGCCAAAAAGATGGAATTTCGACCGTCAGATCGAGTTTCTCCTAAACGGTCAAGATCGGACGCGAATTTCTACTACGAGAGATTTACGCGACATAAAACATTTGCGCTCGTTAATTCTTCAGTTGATTCGACTCGCAGTAAGTCGAATAGCACCCGTATTTTAATTATTTTCGTCGCGCTTCCGTCGGTAGCCGAAGTAGCAGCAGCAGCAGCAACGACGGCGACACCGACGATTGTACCTGCGACAACGGCAGCAGCTACAGTTAATCTCGAAGCAGCGAAGCCGAGACTGTTAAACTGTATTATGCTTGTAGGCTGTAGTGGGGTAGCCAATATGGGGTACAACCCCAACTAGGGTTTCATATTTGTACCCAAACTTCTCTTAGTTCAATCATTCTTGCCTAGTGATTCTGACATGGTATTCAGAGCAGGAGGTCCCTAGGACCTACCGATCGTTTTTAGGGCCCACCACCGCTCGCATGCGGTTACCACGCTACCCCGTTCCCTAGCCTCGTAGCGCCCTCGTGCGCCCTCGTTAGCGCCCTCGCGCGCACCCTCGTTAGCGCCCTCGCGCGCCCCCCAACGTCAGCGCCCTCGCGCGCCCCTTCGTTAGCGCCCTCGCGCGCCCCTTTGCTAGCGCCCTCGCGCGCCCCTTACTAGCGCCCTCGCGCGCCCCTCACTAGCGCCCTCGCGCGCCTCTCACTAGCGCCCTCGCGCGCCCCTCGCCGAGCCGCCCGCTCGCAGCCCGCCCGCCCGCTCGCTGCCCGCTTCGCGGCCCGCTCACTACGCAGCCCGCCCGCCCGCTCGCTGCCCGCTTCGCGGCCCGCCCGCTTCGCAGCCCGCTCGCTCGCTGCCCGCTTCGCGGCCCGCCCGCTTCGCAGCCCGCTCGCTCGCTGCCCGCTTCGCGGCCCGCCACTTCGCAGCCCGCCCGCCCGCTCGCTGCCCGCTTCGCGGCCCGCCCGCCTCGCAGCCCGCTCGCCCCGCTGCCCGCTTCGCAGCCCGCCCGCCCGCCCGCTGCTCGCTTTGCGGCCCGCCCGCCTCGCAGCGTCGCCCGCCCACCGTGCTGCCCGCTTGCAGCGCCGCCTGCCCGCCGCGCTGCCCGCTTTCCGGCCCGTCCGCCGCGCTGCCCGCTCGCAGCGTCGCCCTCCCGTCGCACTGACCGCTTGCAGCGCCGCCTGCCCGTAGCGCCAGCCTCGCCCGCTGCTCTCTATCCGTGCACAGTCGTCTTCCCCTGCTGCGGCAGTTTTCGTTACTCTGTCACACTGTCGCTATGGCTTCCATTCGCGTGCTGTCGTTCGATGCTGAGGGCCGCCCTGTGCGTTTCACCGCTTGGCTAGATGACCTGCAGCTGTTTCTCCTGAGCGATAGCAAGGAGCATGTGTCGCTCTATGACTACGCGTCTGGTGCTGCGCCTGCCCCTCCTGCCACAGCTGAGCTTAGTGTTCGTTCCCACTGGCAGACTCGTGACGCAGCTGCTCGCCTAGCCATTCGCAGTCACCTGCCGTTAGCTGAGCTAGAGCATTTTGGCGACTGCAAATCCGCTAAGGCCCTGTACGACGCTGTCGTCGCTCGCTACTCCTCGCCTGCCACAGCTGAGCTTAGCCGCCTCATGCTGCCGTACCTGTTCCCCGATCTGTCCACCTTTACTACAGTCGCCGATCTTATCACCCACCTTCGCACTAGTGATGCTCGCCTGCGTGCCGCCCTTCCCACCGAGTTCTGCGCTAAGAACCCCCCTCCACTGTACTGGACACTCCACTTCATAGTCACCCGTCTCCCTGACACCCTCCGCTCAGTTCGAGACCACTTCCTTGCTCGCTGTCCCACTGAGCTCACAGTCGCCCTCCTAGAGGAGCACCTGCTCGCGGCCGAAAAGAGCATTGTAGCTGTCGGTGCTGCTCGTGGCGCTCCTCGCACCCCCATCTTTGAGGGGTGTTCTCCCTCTCCCCTCGCTCCCTCCTACGCTGCTGCTGCTGCTGTTGACTTCCTTGGTGCTGAGTCTGTTGGCGCTGCTTCTACTCCTGGTGGGAGGCGCCGCACCGGCAAGGGCAAGGGGGGCAAGGGTGGTGGTGGTGGCGCTGGGGGGGGAGGAGGTGGGGGAGGTGGGGGGGGAGGCGGTGCTGGAGGGAGCGGGGTCGGTGGTGGAGACGGGGGCGGCGGAGGGACCAGTGGCAGTAGTGGCGGCGGCGGCGGTGGCGGCGGTGGCGGTGGTGGCGGTGGTGGCGGTGCCGGTCGGAGCGGTGGTAGTGGTGGCGGCGGAGGTCGGAGTGGAGGCACTGGCTCTGGCCAGAGCTCCCAGCAGCAGCAGCGTCCCCAGACGACCCAGCAGCTTCGTGAGTGGCTTGCTCAGCGTGGGACGTCGGGGGCCAGTGCCCGCTGTTCTTATGTCATTCGCACAGGTGACCGCAAGGGACAGACGTGTGGGAGGTTCCACACCCCGTACCGCTGCTTCTCCCGCCTTGACGACGCTTGGCGTGAGGAGATGGGTGCGGATGTTGAGCGCCCCCGCTGGGCTGAGCTCATGAGGGCTGGTGTTGATGTCTTTGCTCTTGACTATGATGCTATTATTGCTGCCATGTATGCATTGACTGTTAGTGCCGAGGGAGACTGTTACTTGTGTGTGCCGCCTGACCCAGGTATAGAGCCCGCTGCCCTGGGTACTAGTGAGTCTGCTCTCTCTGGTATGGTGCCCCCTGTACTTGCTCCCCCCAGTGCTGTCCCGGCTGGTTTCGAGTCTGCTCTCTCAGGTACAGCACCCACAGAGACTGCTCTCTCAGGTACCGCACCGGCTGAGGCCTGTCACACCTTCACCCTTGACTCAGGTGCTTCCCGTTGCTTCTTTCGTGACAGTACTGAGCTCACACCGCTTCCTGCACCAGTCCCAGTCTCCTTGGCTGACCCCTCTGGGGGCCCAGTCCTTGCCCAGTCCACCACTGTCCTCCCTTGTCCGGCGGTTCCGTCTGGCTCGTTGTCGGGTTTCCACCTCCCCTCGTTCTCGACGAACCTGGTGAGCAACGCTGTCCTCCAGGATCAGTGGGTTGACACCTTTACCCCTGGCGGACAGCGTGTGGCGATCTGCACGTGCTCCAGGACTGGCCGTCACCTGGCTACGTTCACCCGTCGGCCGGGGTCGAGTCTCTACACACTGACCACTGCGTCTCCCCAGGTAGCTGCTGTCGGTCAGGTGTCTGCGTCAGGTCTGGTGGCCCACGCCTGTGAGTGTCGTTCCCTGTCGCACCAGACTCTTCTCTGGCACCACCGCCTGGGTCACCCCTCCTTGCCACGCCTTCGTGGCATGCACCGTCGCCTCCTTGTGTCCGGTCTTCCCAGGTCCCTCCCTCCCCTCCCTGCCTCGCCTGCGCCGCCCTGCCTTCCTTGCGTCGAGGGGCGGCAGCGCGCCGCTCCTCACTCCTCCTCGTTCCCCCCGACAGAGGCTCCTCTGGAGACCCTCCACCTGGACGTGTGGGGCCCAGCCCGCGTTCGTGGTCAGGGCGGTGAGCGGTATTTTTTGCTGGTTGTCGACGACTACTCGCGTTACACCACGGTCTTCCCCTTGCGCACCAAGGGTGAGGTCCCTGCTGTTCTGATCCCTTGGATCCGCACGGTTCGTCTCCAGCTCCGCCGCCGTTTCCGGACGGATCTTCCTGTCCTGCGTCTGCACTCTGACAGAGGTGGTGAGTTTTCCTCCGATCTCTTGAGGACCTTCTGTCAGGCGGAGGGCATCGAGCAGACCTTCACGCTTCCGGACTCCCCACAGCAGAATGGGGTTGCTGAGCGCCGCATTGGCCTGGTCATGGAGGTCGCTCGTACCTCCTTGGTCCACGCGGCGGCTCCCCATTTTCTGTGGCCGTTTGCTGTCCGGTACGCCGCGCATCAGCTCAACCTCTGGCCCCGTGTCTCCTTGCCGGAGACCTCGCCCACACTGCGTTGGACGGGGGAGGTTGGCGATGCGTCGCGCTTCCGGGTGTGGGGTGCTCGTGCCCTTGTCCGCGATACGTCCGCGGACAAGCTCTCCTCCCGCACGCTTCCCTGTGTCTTCCTTGGCTTTGTCCCTGACGCGCCTGGCTGGCAGTTTTACCACCCCACCTCGCGCCGGGTCTTCGCCTCTCAGGATGTCACCTTTGACGAGTCGGTCCCTTTTTACCGTCTCTTCCCCTACCGCACTGCCCCCCTCCCTCCCCCGCCGCTTTTCCTTGCTCCTGGTCCCCCTCCGGTAGACCCCCTTCCCCCTCAGGGTCCTGCTCCTTCAGGTGTCTCTCAGGTAGACCCTCCTCCCGTCGCTGAGCCTGTCGAGGTCACAGGTGACTCAGGTGCTGCTGCGGGTGGTGCTGCTGGGAGTGCTGAGCCTGGGGGTGCTGAGCCTGGGGGTGCTGAGCCTGGGGGTGCTGGGCCTGGGGGTGCTGGGGCTGCAGGTGCTGGAGCTGAGGGTACTGTGCCTGAGAGTTTGCCGCCTGGGGGTGCTGAGCCTGGGGGTGCTGCGACTGGGGGTGCTGAGCCTGCGGGTACTGAGCCTGCGGGTACTGAGCCTGGGGGTGCTGCTACTGAGCCTACGGAGCCTCGGGTTACTGCGTCTGGGGGTGCTCCGGTTCGGGGTGCTGAGCAGTCTCTCACACCGCAGCAGCTTCGTGACTGGTACGTCCGACGCTTTCGCCGTCCTAGTGGCTCGGCTGGAGTTTGGGGTGCTGGAGCTGCTCGTCCTGGGGGTGCTCGTACTGGGGGTACTGGAGCTGCCGGGACTGGCTGTTCTGGGAGCACTGCGACTGGAGCTGCTGGAGCTGGGGACTCTGGCGCTGGCGGTGCTAGCGGAGTTGGAGCTGCCGACTCTGGGGGTGGCGCTGCTGCTGGTGCTGCGGACCCACCTGGTGGAGCTGCTGCTGGTGCTGAGGAGTCGGACGGTGGAGCTGCTGCTGGAGCTGGGGACCCGGCCGGTGGAGCTGCTGCTGGTGCTGAGGACCCGGCCGCTGGAGTCCCTTCTGCTTCTGGAGACGCTGCGCGGCCGCGACCGTACTTCGTACCGCTCCTTCAGCAGGTTCTTGGGCAGGCTCCTCCTCCTTGTCCTCCTCCCTCCGTAGAGTGTCCTCCGCCTGTCCAGCCGCAGTCACAGTTACCGCCTGCCTCGCCTCTCCCTGCTCCCTCTCCTTATACTGGTCCCACAGGAGGTCTTACAGAGCGTCGTGAGCCTGAGTCTCGTCCTGCGTCGCCTGTTCGTCCTGCTCGCACTGCTAGTCGTGTCCGTCGTGAGCGTCCTCCTCCTGTCCCAGGCACTCACTACATGACTCTGCGTCCCTCTACTGCTCCTCGGCGTGTCCCTCTACCGTCTCCTCCTGCGTCCTCTTTGCCTGACGTTCCGGACCCTGAGTCTGACCGGTATCGCGCTGAGCACCCTACAGTCACGCGTCTCCTCGCTACTGTTGTCACTGACCCTACCTTTGAGTCCTCGGCTGCGTCTGCTCTGGTCGCTGAGTTGGTTGACTTTGCTGCTGCCTGTCGTCTAGACTACGCTGCTAGCCTTGTTGCTGAGTCAGAGTCTGCGTCTGTCTGTCCTCCGTCCGTCGGGGGTGAGTGTGCTCTTGGCACGGACGTCCTTGAGGACAGGCAGGAGGACTTTGACTCTCTTGCGGCTGCTGTACCTCATCTCGTGGCCTGGTTGCTTGCCCCTGAGGGAGACCCGGATGCACTAGACATCCCCACTCCGCGCACTTACGCAGAGGCGATCTCGGGTCCCTACTCCTCTCAGTGGCAGACAGCCATGGACGCAGAGATGGCATCCTGGAAGTCCACAGGCACCTACGTCGACGAGGTTCCCCCTCCTGGGGCGAACATCGTCGATGGCATGTGGATTTTCAGGGTGAAGCGGCCGCCAGGTTCTCCGCCTGTCTTCAAGGCTCGTTACGTTGCTAGAGGCTTCAGTCAGCGTCAGGGGGTCGACTTCTTCCAGACCTTCTCCCCCACCCCGAAGATGACCACTCTTCGGGTTCTGCTGCACGTTGCTGCTCAGCGTGACTACGAGCTTCACTCTCTTGACTTCAGCACAGCGTTCCTGCAGGGCAGCCTGCACGAGGAGATCTGGCTGCGCCGCCCACCTGGCTTTACTGGGTCGTTTCCCCCTGGTACCCAGTGGAGTCTCCGCCGGCCAGTCTACGGTCTCCGCCAGGCGCCACGTGAGTGGCACGACACACTGAGGACTACTCTTGCGGCTCTTGGGTTCGCGCCGTCTACTGCTGACCCGTCGCTGTTTCTGCGCACAGACACGTCGCTGCCGCCGTTCTACATTCTCGTGTACGTCGACGACTTGGTCTTTGCTACTGCTGACACTGAGGCACTCGCTCGTGTGAAGTCGGAGCTGCAGAAGAGACACACCTGCACTGACCTGGGTGAACTGCGTAGCTACCTTGGCTTGCAGATCACCCGGGACAGAGCTCGCCGCACCATCACCCTGACTCAGTCACACATGGTGCAGCAGGTCCTTCAGCGCTTCGGCTTCCAGTTCTCCTCACCACAGGCCACACCTCTGGCTACCAGCCACTCGCTCTCAGCTCCACCTTCGGACGAGTCCGTAGAGCCGAGTGGCCCGTACCCAGAGCTTGTAGGCTGCCTCATGTACTTGATGACTTGCACGCGACCTGACCTCGCGTACCCTCTTAGCATCCTTGCTCGTTACGTTGCGCCTGGGAGACACAGGCGAGAGCACTGGGAGGCTGCTAAGAGGGTGCTGCGTTACCTGTGCAGTACATCAGGCATGGGGCTGGTGCTTGGAGGACGCGACAGAGTTGTCCTCACTGGTCACTCGGACGCCTCTTGGGTGGACGACCTGGCTACGCAGCGGTCGTCACAGGGTTACACCTTCAGCCTTGGCGCAGGTTCTGTCTCGTGGCGGTCCACCCGCTCTTCCTCTGTTCTCGGCTCTAGTTGTGAGGCTGAGATCTACGCCACAGCCATGGCTGCACAGGAGTTACGCTGGCTCACCTACCTGCTGACTGACTTGGGAGAGCGGCCTAGTTCTCCTCCAGTTCTGTACGGTGACAACAAGGCGGCTCTTGCCTTGTGTCAGGAGCACAGACTGGAGCACAGGACGAAGCACATTGCTCTTCGCTACTTTCTTGCTCGAGAGCTTCAGCAGCGCGGTCAGCTTCGACTTGTGTACGTGGACTCGAAGGCCAACACTGCTGATATCTTCACCAAGGCGCTCCCGCCTAGTGATCATCAGCGGCACTGTACTTCTTTAGGCCTTGTGTCCACGTTTCCTCACTTGCTCACTGCTTGACATTCTTTGTACTGTACTTTATATATATCTTGTTGCTTGCTTGCTAGGTTTTGATCACTGTGTTGCTTGTCTTGTACTATATCTAGCACTGCATGTGAACTGGCCTTGTGGCCTTTACTTGTGCTCGGAGTGTGGTGACGTTGTGATCCACCCTGGGCTTTGTTTTGCTTTGCTGGACTGGTCTTGTGACCCTTTGTTCTCCCCCACTTTGCCTATGGGGGTGTGTTAAACTGTATTATGCTTGTAGGCTGTAGTGGGGTAGCCAATATGGGGTACAACCCCAACTAGGGTTTCATATTTGTACCCAAACTTCTCTTAGTTCAATCATTCTTGCCTAGTGATTCTGACAGAGACAACCAGACGCATTCGATCCTATAGTCAAAGGGAGCGACGTTCGTCGATTTGTAGCTGAACTCGAATTTTATTTTGGAGCCGTTGGATGCACGACCCCCACCCAAGACGCATTGCGCATACGGCTCGTAGTAACACTGTTACAAGGCCCAGCTCTAGAGTGGATCGAGAACAGAGTAGTCCAAGGCGAAGGGACGTGGGCGTTGTTTCGGGCAGCACTGATCGAACAGTTCGACACGTTGAACAGTAGCTACTACGGAACACGACGCAACAAGCCAAATAGTGGCATGGAGCGATTGGCACCACCCACGACTGCCGACCCGATGGAGAACGACAAGGACGATGCGACACAGCGACTAGCAAAGAACGCGACGTGCGAATTTTGCGGCGCTATAGGACATCGTATCTTGGCGTGTTGGAAAATGAAGAAAATTCGTGCGGAGCTGAGGGACAAGAACAGTGTGGCACCCCGAGAGCAGAAAACGGACAACGTGGCTACTTCGGAGAGGGCGAAAAATGAGAATATGGTGGCGCGAATTTAAAACGTCACGACCAGCCGGCACCAGGGGAAATCGCCGAGACAAAAGGAGGATCCGCGAAACAAGACCCTGTACCGACCGGGAAACTCCAGCCGTACACCCCGACAAGTAAGAATATTACTTCTCGTGGGTTTCAAGCCTTTATTAAGGGAGAGTCAGAAATTAAACCGGTACCGGGTAATATGGGGACCCTACTCCGGAGCGCTAATAAGGGTCGAGCGTTCCGAGGAGTTAATATTCTCTCCCAGCAGCCCTGTTTAAAGGCTCCCAGCCGTTCCCCAGAGGAAAAGCCTACACAACTGCACAGGCTTAGGGAAAGGTTCCAGGACCCAAATAAGCTGAATCGGCCTCGGATAAATCCTTCTAACCCTGCTAAGTTGAAAACTGATATGAAGTTAGCAGTTTCGAGCGCAGGACTAAGGGATGATACATTTGATCTACCTTATGATCCTGTAAGCAACACCATCTACAGCTACTCGGAGCGGCAGCAGCCACTAGTTTTCGAGGTGATCTGCAACGGGGGACGCCTCCAGGCACTGGTGGACAGTGGTGCATCTCACTCGGTGTGCGACCGCGGGACGTTGGAGAAAATTGGAGAGTCATCGGAGGAGACCCAGTTTACAGCAACGATGGTGGACGGTACGAAGCTTCCCATCTACGGCGAGTCAACCCTGCAGCTGCAGATAGGGGCGTTGAGGTGGAAGCCGACGTTGCCGATCACGAACATCAAGGGATTAGATTTCATCTTGGGGCGTGATTTTCTGAAGCGGTTCAACCCCGAGATCGACTGGGTCAACCGGAAGGCGTGTATCTACAACAACGGGAAACGTGTGGAGCTGCGAAGCTGGACGGATACAGGGGATGTTCCTGAAACGACGTTTGCATGGTTCGAACGGACGGTGAACAAGAGTAACACGGGTTACTTAGCACTGGTTATGGCAGCAGCAGAGGAGGAAAAGCCGAACTCGGAGCTACCTGCAGCAGTACAGGAGGTGTTGGAGCAGTACAAAGACATCATGCCGGATGACTTGCCTGTAGGAGTGCCTCCAGCGCGCACCCACGAGTACGAGATCGTGGAGGAACCAGGTGCGAAACCCGTCTCCCGTGCACCATACTGCCCTAGTCCGACCGAACTGACAGACATGAAGAAACAGATCGAGTATCTACTGGACAGACAACTGATCCGCCCATCCACCTCTCCCTACGGTGCATCGATTCTCTTCACTCCAAAGCCAAGCGGTAGTTTAAGGATGTGCATCGACTACCGCGCATTGAACAAACAGACAGTCAAGAACAAATACCCCATACCGCGCATAGACGATCTTCTAGACCAACTGCGTGGTGCGACGGTGTTTTCGAAGCTGGACCTACGGTCGGGTTACTGGCAGATCAAGATGGCAGACAACTCGATCCACAAGACGGCGTTCCGTACCAGATACGGCTCCTACGAATACTTAGTGATGCCGTTCGGACTCTGCAACGCACCAGCGACGTTCCAGGCAGAGATGAACCATATCCTACGGCCCCTGCTGGACGAGTGCGTAGTAGTATATCTGGACGACATACTGATCTACTCCAAAACCATGAAGGAGCACGTGGAGCATCTGCGGAAAGTGTTCGAGATCCTGCGGGAGAATAAGTTCTACGTGAAGCTGTCGAAGAGCGACTTCGCCCTGAAGAAGGTGCAGTTTCTCGGGCACATGGTGAGTGCGGAGGGCGTACACGTGGACCCGCGGAAGATCGAAGTCGTCAAGGAGTGGAAAGTTCCTGAGAACGTGAAGGAGTTGCAGCAGTTCCTAGGCTTCGCCAACTACTACAACAGGTTCGTGCCGCAATACGCTAAGATAGCAGCGCCACTGACCAACCTACTGAAAAAGGATACGCCCTATAAATGGGATACTCCTCAACAGCAAGCCATGGAGCAGCTACAGACAGCACTGACTACAGCGCCAGTACTCATCCTACCGGATCCTGACAGAAACTACGTGGTGGAAGCAGACGCTAGTACTTAGCAGTCAGTGCAGTACTGATGCAGGATCACGGACGCGGTTTGCAGCCCATCGCCTATCTGAGTAAGAAGCTACACGGAGCAGAACTGAACTACCCTATCCATGACAAGGAAGCCTTAGCGATAGTCACAGCCTTCAAGGCGTGGAGGTGTTACCTAGAGGGAGCCAAGACTACAGTTTACACTGACCACTGCAGCCTCAAATACCTGAAGTCGCAGCCAACGCTCTCACGACGACAGGTGCGGTGGGTGGACTTCTTGGAGACCCACTTCCACTACGACATCGTCTACAAGCCCGGGCTACACAACAAAGCTGACGCGTTGAGCCGCCCCGGTCATGTAGCAGGCATCCAACTCGACGGGATGAACCCTCTGCTCAAGGGTCTATTCCAGCATGGATACTCCGTGGACGCAGAGATCGCTATAGTAGAGAAACAGAAGCTGTTACAGTGGGAGAAGGACCTAGCTGTAAGAAAGGGATCAGGAAAGATTTGGGTACCGAACTATGCCCCACTCCGACAGAACTTACTGGAGGTGGCATACGCGGGACATTTCGGGAGCAACAAGACGTTAGCGGGAATAGCAAAGTATTACTATTGGCTCCGAATGGCAACAGACGTGCAGCAGTCCGTCACTTCATGCGACACGTGTCACCGGATGAAGAATAGCAAGCAGAAAAAGCAGGGTTACTTTAGCCTCTACCCGTACCGGAGCAGCCATGGCAAGTTGTCAGCCTAGACTTCATTACTGGGCTTTCTTCGACCTCACGAGGGCATGACGCTATACTCGTGGTGATCGACAAGTTCTCTAAAATGGGACACTTCATCCCGACCAACGCCACGGCTACTGCTGAAGCAACTGCTCGCCTCTTCTTCGACCGCATCATCACCATCCACGGCATCCCCGCTACACTTATCTCGGACAGAGACCCAAAATTTACTAGTAAGTTCTGGAGGGAACTCATGGGCTTGTTGGGGACAAAGCTTGCGATGTCTTCAGCGTACCACCCCCAGACTGACGGACAGTTAGAGCGACTCAATCAGGTGGTTGAACAATTACTGCGCATAGCTTTCAAAGACGACATTAGCCACTAGGATCTACAGTTACCGACGCTTGAGTTCGCTTACAACAACGCGTCGCATGCGGCCACAGGGAAATCTCCATTCTTCCTGTGCTATGGACGGAAACCTCTTACACCACAGCAGCCAACCACACCGGCACACGTCCAAGCCGCACACGACTTCGTCACCACCATGCAGCAGCTATGGGAGAAGACTCAACGACGTCTCACCACGATGCAGAACTCCCAGAAGCAGTATGCCGATCGACAGCGACGTGATCACTCAGTAGCAGTCGGAGATCAGGTGCTTCTCGACACACGCAACCTGGACTTGTCTCACATTCCGTCTAAGCTCCGGCCTCGCTTCTGTGGTCCCTTTTGCGTTGAGGCGATGGTGACACCAGTTACATTCCGCTTGCGCTTACCTATTACTTGGAAGCTTCATAACGCTTTCCATGTTCAGCTGCTGAAACCCTACAAGGACCCCAACCAGCAGTTTACGGGACAACAATTGCCACCACCACCACCACCTGTTCTCGTACAGGATGAACCAGAGTACGAGGTGGAACGATTTTTCGCTCATCGACGCAGACGCGGCAACACGCTCGAGTTCCTGATACGTTGGAAGGGATATGACCCGTCGGAGGACAGTTGGGTTGCAGAAGCTGATATGGGCAACGCACGCCGTGCTCTCAAGGATTATCTTGTCAAGCAGGGTGTATCTCACGCCACCCAGCTTTGAGGGGGGGACGTGTGAGAGTACGACGGCTTTGCTACGCTTTACTAGCTTGATTCTGCTTTATCGTGCATTATCTAGCTTAGTTTTATTTTGTTTTGCTTGCTTTTGCTAGATTTCCTAGGTTCGTTGCTTTTACTATATTATTATAGTTTTAGGCACCGAACTAGGTTGAGTGCACCGAATTTTAGGATTTCGGTTGCCACCGAATTGCCTTCTACCGAATTCCGGAAGGACCCGTTCGGGACGCTTCGCGACCCGCGGAACCTTCTAGTAACAGCAAGGTTACTGCCTTTGTGTCGAGCC